GTGTTGCGGCTGCCTCCGTTCACCAGTGACGTCGACTATTACCATGACAGGCCCGGGGTGACATGGGAGGTCATGACGGATGTACTTTGCACAGAGGGGCAGCCCATATGGATACGTGACCAAATAACCCTCAACTCTAACTCCTTCACTCACCTGGCCAAGTGTTGGTTGACTGTTATCTGTAGCAGGTTCCTGCCTTCCAGCAATACCACGGACGTGAACTTCAATAGGGCACTGTTGACTTGGTGCTTTGTGACAGGGAAGGATTTTGATGCGGCACGAGTAATTGGAGATGAAATGGTCATATGGGGACCGCTGCTGACAAAGGGATTCTATTTCCTTTCCTTGGTAACCACATTGTGCTTGATGAGAAACACCCCCACCAACCTTGCAGATGGCGATTTGCCTCCCAGAGCAGCTTTCAAAGCTTCTAGCATCAGAGTGGGCAGGGGTACCCGCACCACAATTGAGATTGATGATGAGGAGGATGATCTGGTCCCTGTTGCACCGTCCATGAGGTCTGTTGACAGTGTCGAGCCCTCTCGGCGCCCCCATTCTGGAGCAGACCTATCACGCTCACAGTCCTCCCGGCCTATGCTGTGCTCCTTGGAGGAAGAGGTCGCGGATCTCCGCACCTCGGTGGATGGTCTACACACGCGGATGGACGCCATGTCACAGAGGCAGGCTAGATCTGAGAGCCAGTTTATAGCTTGGTTACGTGCCTTGGGGAGGGCCTGCCATGTAGACCCCAGCACCGTCTCCGACTCGGATTGAGTCTCAGGGAAGTCTTCTCACCCTTCTGCTCTTTACTTTATTAATATGACATGGGGACATGCCATGATTTTAAGTGTGGGGTGGGAGACTTGCTCTAACTGTGTACTGTAATGTATATAGATGTTGTTGTGCTGTAGTATTAGATATGTTGTATATATGTGAGTGTGTTATATTAGGAATAGCTGACTTGGCCCAACGACGGACACTTGTTGACGGGTCTCTTGAGGGTCAAAGTTAGATATATAAAAAATAAAAAAAATAAAAAAATAAACAAAAACTTGTAGAGGACTCTTCCTGATGACGGACTATGTGGACAGTACTCTTGAGGGAAGTAGTCCATGTAGAATTTTTTTTATTTTATTTTCTTCTTTTAGGTAGTGTAGTACCTCCCCCTTGGTTTTTCTTTTGAGCACGGTTCTTTTCCAAGGGTTTTTCTTGAACCGGGTTAGGTAGATTTTTCTTTTGTAGTGTTAGGATTAGATGGGTGAAGGTCAGAATGTAACCCCAAATGTGCACACTTGCAAAGAAAAGAACTTGAGAGTGGACGTCTAAGCTTGTATGTGGACTCATAATATATGCCTTAATTTTGCACATCTTGTCTGGCTTGAACACTCGTATGATTGTGTCGATGAACTGATTCGGAATGAGTTACATGCTAAGTGTGTGTGAGTTGTTACTTGCATCCTATGCTTGCATATGATACCTAGAACTTGCCCTGTGTGTTTGCAAAGCGAAATAGAAGTCGGTTAGTTTTAGAGATGATTGAGGCATTTCTTTGTGCAACCCTTTATACTTGAGAATCCACCTGTGCATATTACCATAGTTAACCCCTTTGAGCCTGAAGTCTATTCTTTGATAACCCTATAATGATCTAAATCGCTGTGTTTGAATAAGCTAATTGCCTTTCCCTCCTAGAAGCACTTAATCACTAAAGAATATACAAAAGTCAAAGTGTGGGGTGGGAGAGAGTTAGTAAAAAAAAAAGGGAATCAAGAATGAAGGTTTTGGGTGGTGAACTGGCAGTGTACAATAAATCTAAAAAAAAAAGAGAAAAGAAAAGAAAAAGAAGAAGCCAGTTGTACCTAAAGAAAAGTGGGGGTCACAAGTGAAACAAAATGTGGAATAATGATTGGGTTGAACATGAAGGTGAAACAAAAGGAAGTGTGTATTAAAAGTGCTTAGGGAGGTTAGTCACTATATCCAAATATATCCTACCCGTCCCTTAGCCTACATTACAACCTATAAAGACCTCTTGATCTTTGACTGAATGGCTCGATTAGTGGAGTATTACACTAGGGGCAAGCTTATGGTGTGTCTGTATGGCTTGTGAATGCTCTTTGCTGAGAGTGAGCGAATTCTTTCTATATATGGTTCCTTGTTGTTGAATTTTATGTGTGTGGAACTTCTCTAAAATTTTGTTTATGTGAGGGCATGTGACTCAGGAAGAAAAGTGAGTCTTCACTTCTGTTAGAGTAATTAGAGTGAGCACAAGTGTGTCTTGGCATGAGAGTCTGCATCTGAGATATGATTGTGCACCGCTTAGGTCGATCTTTGACAATAGCAGGTGTGATATAAATTGGGGCAATGCATTGAACAGTTAGGTCTAGAAGTGTGGTTTAGTTGCTCGAGGACGAGCAAAGGTTTAAGTGTGGGGTGTTGATAATAGGTGAATTTGACTATAATCACACCTTAAATAATCACCTTCTTGTGTAGTTTTAATGCTAAAAGTGATAACAAAATGCTCTTATTAGTGCTTTTCATGATTTGTAGGTGAAATATGTATAAGGAAGGCTAAGGAGCAGTTTTGGAGTTAAAAGTGATGAAAAAGAGGCCAGCTGTGAAATTTCCCAAGTGAACCATGCAAAACAGGCCGAAGATTTAGAGCACTAGGTCCACCGCGGTTCCACCGCGACCGCGACAGAACCGCGGTGGGAAGCAGCTGCAGAACCTCAGTGATTCCGCGAGGGTGTTTGGCCGCGGTTCTACCGCGACCGCGGCAAAACCGCGGCAGGCGCAGAAACTTCAGGGACCAAAGTGTCAATTACGGGATTTTTAGACCTAAACCCTATTTAAAAATATTAGACTTCGCCCAAGAGAGGCATGTATTGATTTTTAAGGTTTCTTAGCAAGAAAAACCATTGTGAGAGAATACTCTAAACATCTTTCTTCTTTTCTTTTGATTTTTATGATGAATTCAATCTTAGTCTATTTTCCCATAGCCATGAGTAGCTAAATTCCTTGTCTAAGGTTTTGATGGAACCTATTGGGTGATGAACTTCTTGTTTATGTGAATACAAATTGCTAGTTTAATCTCTATTTGTTCAACTTCGTGTTCGTTGTGGTTAATTGACAATCCTCAATTAGCTGTGCCTATTTAGTGTGCATAACTTGGAAAAGAGTGCATATTTAGGGTATTGTTGAACAACACCACTCCTAGATTATTAGAGGAATCTATAATTGCGGGTTTAAAGGCGGGATTAGGGATAACGAAGCCTTGGGTGTAATCTAAAGTGAATCGTGCTAAACAAAGTAAGCTAGTGTAGCTCGGGAGAGTGCAATAGTAAATTACTGTGATTACTCGGGAGAGATTTGTGGTAAGATTAGTGTTCATAATTGATAGAGATGTGTGGGTAAATTTGTATGAGCATAAACAGAAGGGATTCCATCAATAGGGGAAATCATTGCCTTAGCTTTTCCTCATAATTGTTTACAACCTCATTAGTTTAGTTTACAGCTATTTAGTTACTTGCAAGCTAGTCGTTAAAGAACACTCAACTGAGATTTGAATATTTGGGAAGCTGGTTCTGAAGAATTAGTGGGTCTGAAGATAGTAGTTGATAGGTTAACTCTCTGTGGATTCGACCCTGGGCGTAATACTCGGGTTATATTTGCAACGTCCGCTTAGTCCTTTTTATAAGGCATAGTTGGGCGTGATCAGTAAATTTGGACCTTTTTCCCCTTAATAAAATCATATGTTTTTATATAAATTTATTACCGTTCCGAATAATAGTTCCAACATCTTGAGTAGCAAGCAAGTAGGTATTCCAGCGATCTTCAGTGGCAAGCCACAAGGCAAGGCATTGAATATCTTTCCTCTCATACGAATTTCTCTTGCTGGATATTCTTCTCTTCTATTAACTTTATTCTTGAGTCACAACTTGATTAGTGTCTTTTCATTCACATGATTTAAATTTCTCTTGTCTTTTGCTTAATTTAGTTTAAGCTACCATAGAATAGTGGGATGAATCTCTTGTCTTTCATGTTCCTTTGATCATCTCTTTTAAAATAGCAAGAGATGTTGCGAGTCTTGCCAAAGTCGTATACGAGTACGCATTTATCGCATGACGTTTTTAAAAAGGTATGAAAAAATTAACCGAATCATACCAATACCGAAGAGAAACGCAGATGATTGAGACTGTTTCGAAAAGTCTAATTATGATTATACAAAATGGAATAACCGAAAAATTAGTATAGTACAAATATTATAAAATAATCTGCCGAACCGAACCATTGACACCCCTGCATATTGTTAGATACATATAATTATTTAGACACATATTTTCCAAAGTGGGGTCGCATTGACACCTTATCTAAAGGGGTGTCTCTGCCAGATTATTTTTATGAAAGTAAAATGAAAAAGAAGCTCAGAACCTATATTTGATGCTTCAGACTTCAGTTTTAGACAAGTCCTTGGTTTCTAATATCGTCACCTTTATTATATTTCTGATAAGCAACATGGTTTCTAATATCGTTCCTTTTTTTAGTGCAAATCTGATTAAATTGGTGTAGTCAACGGCAGTCTCCTGGGTTTCATCGCAGATGAATAATAATCTAATGGGGAATCAAATTAGTTGCTGACAAATATAACCTTTGATTAAATGGCAAAGTTGAGACAAAAATATTATGTCCATCCTGTTATAAATCATTAAGTCAAAGGCAGAAAACGTATCATAGTAACATCTTTGAATCATTTAAGGTACGACTTAAGCTAAAAAGTTATTTGTTCTGCGATGTTAAAACAGAAACAGCTTTGACAAAAATGTTTGGCTCTCATTTCTGTCCTTTTCTTTTGTTGTTGGGGGGGGGGGGGGGGGGGGGGTAAAGAGAAAGATTTAACCAGGAAGAAGCCACAAAATTTCAGCAAAAAGCTATTTCTTAACCTCATTACTATAAAAGCCATGTGTAAGAGCAGAAAAGGGATATGTTTAAGTGTGCAAACAGCAAAATTTCATCAAAAAGAGAGAAACTGAATTGCAAAAGCAAACAGCTTAACATTTAAGAGATGGTTTATTACAGGGAAAAATGAAAACCTGTAACCACTAAACAGCAGTTTGAAATTATAAGTTACTACCAAATCACCTCAGCTCTTAAGTTAATGAAGTTCTAGGACACCAAGACCAACTTAAGTGCGGCATAGCTCAAAATATACGAATTCAACCATAAGAATCTAAGACCATCCGAATTTGTAGTCAAGAACATATACAAGTACAAGAGAGAAGGGATAGAGCAGAAACGCTAGCAAAGAAGTCCAAAGGGGAAAGGTGCTACGGATGCTCGCAAAGACGCCCATGACAACACAAACAATTAGAATAACCAGCACTTCAGATGAGAAGTCCCATGTCAATCCTCTGGCATATACAAGAGCCAGGAAGACGGATAGACAAAGGAGATTGTTCATTGTCACTGCTCCATACAACTGCAAGGTACCATCAGAGATGTTATCAAACCCAGGTAATTGTATCAGTGATACAAGCGATCAAACTGCTCAAATGCCCTTTATACAACAAACTAGAGTTGAAAAGTGTAATCGCACAACATTTAACATAGATAAACAAACCATACATTGTGCCTTACATTTCGAGAAAAAGTAAAAGAAGTTTCCCTATGAGTAGCCCTACACTGACATTAAAGTAGATTCTGGGCCTTTAAGAGAAACAAAATATTGTTATAAATAATCTTTTACCAAATCCGTTAGTTTTTCCATGAGAGATGACAAATCGGATTGTCATGCACCAATGCCTAAACGAACAGAACCTCAATCTCTGCTTGAGGTCTCTGTCTGCTAACTCTTTGCTAGGACTTCCTAATTTTTGTTTGAGATTTGTAAGTCAGTAAAAAGTACAGAAATTTCTAGAGTTAGAGAATCAAAATTATAGATTATTCGAATGAAAGAGGTTAAAATAAAGCGAAATGATATTGAGGGTTCATATAGCAAATCCGAACTTGCTTGGGATTGTGGTGTAGTTGATTTGTTGTTTTTCCTTAGTACCGATCACTTGTTTGGTTCATTGTATAAAAAAGGGGATATGAGGAGTATAACAGGAACATGCGTTTGGTTTTACAATAGATGAACTTGGATAAATTATTATTTTTAATTTTTACCTTGGCTTTCTTAAAAGACTTGGGAGAAAAGCTTTGAAGAAGGGCAAATGTGTCATTTTGCTATTTTATTCCGGTAATCCCCTGATTGTTATCCCACATTGAGTGTGGTATAAAAATAATACCACAATTGTGATATAAATAATCCCAGATTGCTTAAAACAGAATATAAAATTCAATAAAAGGCGGATAAAATAATCCCACATTTTACCCCGGGATTATAGTCTCTTATCTTTGCAACTAAACGACACCTTAATGTTCATTAATTATCTTTCAGGCTCACCGATGCAAGTAATGGGTAGCGAAAACACAATTTCTACTAATAAAGCAGAGAAGCTGCATCAGGAAAACAAACCTCCGAAAATGTTAATGATGCAGATCTCAAATTTTTCCGGCTAGCAAAGATAATAGCTGACACTGCCTCACTGGAGTTGGTTGCAAATGGCAGCACAATGAATGAGATGAAGAAAGTAGGAATGCTTGTGGCACTGGAGAAATTATTGACAGCATCCACGAGGGGATCAGCAAACACAGCAGCAATGACAGTGCCCAGCAACAGCAATAGAACAGCCTTAATAGCAATTGATCGGGGATTCTCAACAGCCTCAACACTTTCGTCATTTTGATCCCCTAAGAAATGGTGTTCTCTTCTTGCTTCCTGCAAGCACATCTACATATTATCACTATCTTCACGGCGATAGTCCAAAAATACATCAACACTCAACAAACCTCATGCAAATCAGCGAGGTACTTCATTGTATCAGGACCAGCTTCAATAGAAGGACCCTTGGAACCCCTGGCCTCATTAAGCCATTTTGCAACTCCGGCAATGAACTCAGACATTTCAATTCGTTGATCATGAGAAGTATCAAAGTCTTTCATCAGCTTTTCTACAGCATCATTCTCATTTAAGTTTATCTCCTCTAGACGGATTCCTACTACTAGAGCTTTTAATTCAGAGCGAGAAAGATATCCATCTTCACTTTCATCAATTGCCTTGAATAGCCTGTCATGCAATCCTTCATCACATTGATCGGCTTCTAAAAACGATAAAAACAGTGCAGAAAGCATTTTAAACTTACTTTTCCAAAACTTCTATATTTGGTGCTCCCTGGTCAGTGCAAAGCCTCCCCAATGCACGCATTCTTAAATGTTTCAACACTCCTGATATAACATGCTTATGTTTTACATAAGCAAGCCGTCTTCTCTGTATCCAAGGCTGAAAGACCTGCATTAAAAGTTAAAGAGAAGTTCAGGACGACTTTGCTTCATAAGAAGAACAGAAGATTAAGCCTCATGATTCCAACCGTAAAAAAATGAAACTATTTATCAGCCTAGCACACAGGATGATAACAGATTTATCTTTATTTTGCTTTTTCTTTTTGAAAGAGGAAGAGGTGTAAGGAGGCATCATGTTGCCCTCTGATACAGGTTCAACTTGAACTCGGGTGGTTATGTGGACAGTCCATTTTCGAGGGCTACTTAAAGTGCGGCCAATCATAGGGTTTGCTATTGCCTATTTGAAAAAATTCAGTTCAAAACTGTAAAAAGTGTTATTTATCTCCAAAAAGTGCTGTCAAGGCGGATCTCTGCAGATGATCTCATTGCAGCTTAAGAGAAAATGAGGTTAACCACAGTGAACAGAAGAAAAAACACATGGGCAATGTCATAGTACCTGATAGAGACAATAAGAAACAAGCAGTGTAAGTGATATGATAAGAGCAATCAAGACAGCCAAATGTCTTCCTGAAGTTGAATGGAGGAGCTGTGGCAGTTGGACAACAAGAAATGGAGTTACAGACACGGCCATTATTGTTGCAGCATGGCTTGTCCAGACGTCAGTACTAACACCAGAACCTACATTGACACTTACTCATTAAGTAGAAGCATCTTGATACCCAAAATCTGCCATATATTAGTAGGAATATCACTTGCACAACTATATAGTTACTGCCATATATTTGCAGGAATATTTCCACGTGCTGAATACATATATTTAGTCCCTGTAATTTTGGTAATCAGATGGTTGACAAGTTTCGTGAAAGATCCCATACTGTATACGTGTAACCAACAAACTTTCTCCATACAGCTCGTGTTCTTATTATTTACTTTGCCTTTTTAAAAAAAAGCTCATGTTCTTACTTTTTAAGAAGAAGGAAAGCTCATTTACTTACTTTAGCTATTGGAGAAAAGCATTTCTACAAGGAATCTATTTCTTTGTTTTGCCTGAGAGAGTCCAAAACTTATCCTTCAAAAGAATTCCTTACACTCATCCTCTCTCAATTACTAGACAAGAATAGGAAAAAGGGGGGGGGGGGGGATAGCAGAAACTGGTTTATAGCAATATATTTCAGGAAAGACAAAAGGAGGAGCTTATACATGATTCTGTACACATAATCTAAGAGTCAAGAGGCAAACCCGTCAAGCTGAATCCTTTAGTGTCTTTCAAGTCTACGGCAACAGAATTTTGTATGTCGCACTTGCCAACAATGCAACAGGTTCCCCAAATAACAGTAATAAGCATCACAGTTGACCCAGCTAGCAAGCCCATTCCTACAGAGACCTGGCTCTGAGCAGCTGCAGTACTTCCAGATATCCCCGATACTGAAATAATGAGGTAATAAGAAATTTGCAAAGCTCATTATGGCATGTAACAAATGGTTTTAAATGATATATCGTTCGGGGTTGGGTGTTTCAATTTAGGGGACAGTGAAAATTACTTGCCGAAAAACAACTCTTAGGCACTATTTTTTGATCAGGTAAGATTTGCATCAATCCGCCCATCCCTTAGTTTTAGTTGGCATATTACATCTTAAAAGTGAATGAGAAGTGATTCTTATCATTATAGTCATTAAGTTATTGTCACCTCATTTATTTCCCCTAATGATCAAAAGCTCATATTATGAGGTTTGAACCAGTGCTTAGGCGCATACCACCCAAATCCAGCATGTAGACTTTGAGGCATTGGATAAAAGCGGTGCTACCACAGAAAAATAAATGAGTATAAATGGGAATGACTTGTGAATTCATCGATGAGTATGAGGCAAGTTTAAAGACCCGTTGACTCAAATTTTGACAAAAGGCCTGCCCAAGGATTTCAAGATCCTGATTCCTGCATTACAAAGTGGTACAACATCCTGAAGAAAAAAGATTGTCCCATGATAAAGGTTTGATCTCTGGTAGATAAAAGGCCTTAAAACTATCTTCTTGATTGTGAGGTTCTAAGGTGGAAAATGAGACATTGACTAAATGGCATGCCAATATTTCTCTCCATCAATTAGCAGTCAAAAAGCTGGTCTAGGATGTTAAGCGTTAAATAACTTTAGTGTATAGGATTATTATGCTAAAAACGAAGTATTACATAGAGATAACTGCAAAGTGCTACTTGGATGCAAAATTTAACATTAAACTTCTAATTTTTATATCACTATTCCCTGGTAATTGTCCTTGAAGTGAAAAGACAAAAAATAATAGGAGGGAAAAAATATATATAAATATTACTGCTTCTATCTTCGTGTTAGACACGTCATAATTATCAAGAGTCAACGGGACTGTCTTTCGCAAGTAAATACACTAACTCATCTGTTCAAAATTAAATTACAGAATTTCAGATACTATTGAAAGTAATATAATATGTCGCAATTCTCTTTATATCAAAGGTAAAAAATAAATCTTAAATTGATCAAAGTTAGATAATTTGAATCTGGGAAATCAAGACATGATTTTCACTTGACGATCTTTGGATTGATGTTATATACACTGACTGACAGTGTAAGGTTTTCTTTTACGTGAATTTTGACACATGTGTAATTACCTAATAAGTGATCCAATTACACTTACGATTATTTACATGATCATTACACTTACATTTTTTACACTATCAGGTTAAGCTGATAAATTGAGTACCAAAACAAAGTAAATTTTAAAAAGGTTTAAAAAACCCGATAATAATCATACCGAGAATGAGCATAGCATCAGGAAGAGCACCAAGCATGGGAAGGAAAAGTCCACCAATAAGACCCGGCCCTAAAATCTCCAGCAACAATTCACTACCAGAAGAGAGATACGTGGCGGCAAGGAACATGAGGTAACCGTATACAACAATGAGGAAGACATTTCCGAGAGCAGTTTTAGTACAAGGCAAAAATCCATAACTCTGTTCGCAATTCTCCTCCGCAGCCGAAATTCGGTCCAGCCGGAGAATCTCCGAGACACCGTCGGAAATGAGATCGCCGGAATAGTCGCTGATGAAACGGCCGTAAACGGCGCCGGAGATGATTAGGAGGATCAAGAGAGGGAGATAAGCTTTCACAGGCATTTTTACGATTGGTATTAGTAAAGCATATACTAAACATCTTTATATATGGAGTATATATATAATATATTATACAAATCTTTGCATATGAGAGTGGATATTGGAGTCGGTAAGACGGTCACGCAGTATTCATTTGAACCATTTTTTTTTTAATAAATCAGTAAGGCAAAAGATGGCATCGGAGTCAGTAGAGGGGGTGAGAGGGGGGGGGGGGGGGTAGTTTAACGTTTGGGGTCCTTCCTGAAAATAATTTTCTTCACATGGATAGATACTTTTTTCACATGAGTTTCGTTCCTTTGGTGTGGTATTTAAATACTGAAATAGATATTTGACCAATATTTTTTTTTAAATTAAAAAAGTCTTTGAAAATAAAATACTCCGTAGGAAAGAACTTGTGAAATTTGAAATTGTGTTGTGAGCTTCACTTAAAAAAGAAAGTTGCAGTAAAAATTATAAAAGTTGCAGTAAAAATTATAAATTTTGTGTGTGAAGTTTTTACCAGTTTTAATACTTCTGTTTACCTCAAAGTCCATATTGTTAACTAGGGGTGGGCGTTCGGTCGGTTTGGTTATTCGGTTTTCGGTTTTTTAAAAATAGTAACCGAAACCGAACTGAAATAAGTTCGTTCAGTTCGGTTTTTCTAATTTCGGTTCAGTTATTTCGGTTCGGTTTTCGGTTTGAACATTATCATATTGGGCTCCTTCTATGTAATAATAGGACCGGAGAATTTGTTGTTTTTCCCAAAACTTCGAAATTGTTGGAAATATTGTGTTTATAAAAAAAAATAGACTAAACTTTGCACACTATAATGGATCATAAAATTCAAACATAGTGTAAATTACAACTCTGTGTGAAATCCTCCCGCTATCTATCATATATGCTATGGAAGTTTTAATAGAGTGAAAGTAGGGAAGTTGATGGACTTACTTAATTGGGTTGAGTCTTTGATAGATTGGACCTAATAGTATTAATTTGTGGATTAGTTAGCTCCTATAGCAAATGTTGATACCTTATTTATTTTAAATAAATATCATTTTAAAAAATTATATTCCATAGCTACCTCCTGATTTTTTATAGCTAAATATCTATTTATGGTCACCTCCTACCCTTAAGCCATAAAATAAGCTTTGTATTATTTTTCTCTCTCATATCCCCTCAAATTTCTCCTATCCCCTACCCCATATCTATTCTCCCCCCCCCCCTCTCTCTCTCTCTCTCTCTCTCTCTTTAGTTCCCGATATCTTCTCCTCCGCCGGACGCAGGAGCAATTGCCATAGTCACCGTTTCGACCGTGGTCATTATTCATTGATACCGCCGCCCTCAGCCTCCCAATCTTATTCTCTGATGCAACATATCGGATCAACAAAAACCTCCGTAATTTTGCCGGTAATTACATGCTAATCGTCGGCAACCGGAGGCAACGGTGACGACGAGCGAGGATTGGATACTGATGTTGCTTCAACGAGACGACATTAGGGTTGTTCTTGAACAAAGACGACGGAGTTGGGGGCTGAGCAACTTGAATTTTCTATTAATATATTTCAATATATTTCAATATATCTCGCTGTATTTCATTGTATTCATTGTCTTTTTTTTCGTTGTATTTCAATATATCTCGATGTATTCTATGTATTTCATTGTATTCATTATCTTTTTTTTCGTGTATTTCAATGTATCTCGCTATATTCTATGTATTTCATTGTATTCACTGTCTCGCTATATTCCATGAATGTATTCATATATTTTTTTTAATTAATGTAATTTATGTATTCAGATGTATTATATAATTTCTCTGAAGATTGCTATGTTTTTGGGGTGTTTTTCGGTTGATAATCTTTTCTATAACTGAAAATACAAAATTTATGTGTTATAATTGAGTTTATTGAGTTATATTAGGAGTCTATTATGTTAATTGATTCACTTTCTGTTTAAAAACAGTGTAATCCCCTGTTTCACGCCGTGAATCAGTCGAATACAATAATCTGTCCAGCTGTAATCCCATGTTTCACGCCATGAATACAGTCGAATACACACGAATACAAACATCTGTCTAGCTGTAATCCCCTGTTTCACGCCTAGAAATCTACTGTATTCACGAATACAGTAGCTTAAATACATCGAATACACTCTAAAAAATCTGAAAACATAGCTATAGGAAGTAATATAGTAAATGGTAGCTACAACTAGCTAATAACCACTAAAACATAGTGGTTTCTGAAAGTTTCTCTTAATTTATTACCTATGGGCTTAGCCTATATGTAACTTAAAGAACCTATATGCTAATAATTCAGTTTTTCGGTTAACCGAACTAAATAACTTAATAACCAAAAACCGAATCGAAAAACTGAAATTCTAAAAATTTTAAACTGAAACCGACCGAACAAACCGAATAACCGAAAACCAAATAAAAAAAATTCGGTTCGGTCGGTTTATTCGGTCCCGAACGAAATATGCCCACCCCGTTAGTAGTATGTTGATATTTTTTGCCAAATTTTTCTTTTTACTATTTTGGGTCTTCTAGTTAAAAAAAGTCGAGCCCATAAATCTACATAAATAGTGCTAATTATGGAACACACAAAATAAAATTTCTCCCAATTATCCATATATTTTACGACGCCCCGCCATGCAACAAAAGTCAAAGATTGAGAAAAGGAAGGAGAAAGAAAAAGTCTCGGTAAGATTTACGTGGAAAAGTCCTACATCAGTGGCCTAAAGCTATCTTACACCCTTTTAGGTGTTAGAATATGTGCAGCGGAGCATAAACCCAGGCATCACATACATGTAATTTAAACAAGAAATTAATAACGAAGATTAGAAGCACTAACCTCTTGAAACTGTTGCATTTTTACTAGCTAGGTGTAGAAGGGACCGGAAAAATAATAAAGGGCTACCAATTATAGTATTACTTCGAAATTTTGGAGTGAATTAGATCTCACTATAATTAATCATAGTTTATTCCACTAAAAAACTGCAATTGAGCTCCTCAGTATGAATTTCGAAAATTCACCAACACTTATTTTAACTCCACATGTTAAGGTTACAAATACCAGTTAAATTAAACTAAATCACTGATAATTTAATTTAATCAGCTAATTAAATCCTTTATAATTTCGCTTAAACTCTTTCATGTGACGGATACAAAATTCACCGGCCAGGTTTTCACATATAAACTTATAAGCTTACATAAAAGGGTATTATCAAACTCAAGGCCGCGTCATGGATTCTATCAAATAATTATTATTTCCGCAAATGCCATTCATCATTGTCCAATCTATTAAGCTTATACTAACTCAAAATAGAGTTGCACCTTTTGATAAATCAAAACAATAAACAAATCACATTGATCATAGTAACTATATCAAGATTTGGCGTATATGCTCATTTAATGAATCAGAAAAAATATTTTATACATTCAGTACAAAAATATCTTTTCTCTACTTGGTCCGTTCAATATACACTAAGTATACTAACACAAGAAGTTGGAGTAAAACCACTCTCGAAATCCAGATAAATTATAATCTTGTGCTACAACCATCAAGATATTTTGCTCAATAATATCTTCGATTGTGAACATTATGAGAATGGACAATTTCTTCTGTGCATGAGCTAAGACTCTATACACTAAATCGTGTACTACATAATTAAAGGACACATGTGTAACAAATGATCTATTTAAAATAATACTTTATTAAACTGGATAAATCAAATAAACAATTGTTCCATAAAGAATAAAATATAACGCTATAACTAAACCACATGGTTAATAGTATATCCCAATAATCTTGTTTGTCGTAAAAATGGTAATAACAATTAGGTTTGATTTTTTGGTTCTAAAAATACGTGATTTATTTTTATGCTAGTTGTTAAGCAACAGATGCTAAGTAAGAGACTAGAAATTAAGATAAGATCTTGAAGATAGTATATTCTAGCAAACCGAGTGGCTGAGAATCGGGGCCTCGAGCCTGGTTATACGGGGCCTCGAGGTCGAACTCGATGCTAAGTTACGGACAGTCGATGAAGGAATAACAGCTTTGAGAGCTTTGATGAAGGCTCTTTATGACCAATAATGAACAATAAATGAAGAACAATTAATAGCGCACAATAAATGTAAGCAATAAATGTAAATAATAGAATCAAGGGAGAATGTATTTGAGTTAGAGAGCAGAGAATATTCTTATATTCAATGTTGTGTGTTGTGTTCCATATCTTACAAAATGACAAGGACCCCCTTTATATAAGAAGGGAAATCCCAACACAGTACATGAGTAATTATTACAAAGAAATATAGCTGGCACAACTATTTACTAGTCTGGTACAGGTGTTGTCAGTTATGGTCACGTGTCTTGGGAACTTCCCGCTCTCTCATAATAATCATCGATTTGCACTACCTCGAGGTCGAACGTTTGGAGCCCTCGGGGTCGAATCTCAAGCCATGCCTCGAGCCTTTGGAGACGAGCTTGCGAAGCGTTACAACGGCCATAAAATTGGGCCTTCTGATTTTTACCGTATACAGATAGTCTCCGCGTTTCTTAGAGTGAAATGATCTCGAACTCTTACCCATTCGGTGCCTTTATTATGATGGTAGTCGTGCCCTATCGTGCGATTTCTATGACGGAATGAGGTATCCAAAGGTCGCGTCCACACAGCCCTTAAAAGCCTTTGAATTAATTAGAGCGGTCGGCTGTCCTCTGGTCCGCTCCAATGTGCGCGTAAGACCTCTACAAATACTTCTTCTTTCGCTCCTTATTTTCCACTGCACCATAAATCCCTCAAAAGAGTTTTTCTTACCTCTCTTGTGTTCTCCTCCGAAAGCAAATTTCTTTTCCCCTTAAAGACCTTCTAACAATAATGGCGAAAACTTCACCCCTGTTCCTCAGGAAGGTGTGCCTTCTTCTTCCTTGCGCTTGTCTAAGGGTAAGGCAACGATGCCTCCTTGTGTCGGGGAATGTGTTCCAGGAACCTTTGAAACGACTTTTGACTTCAAGACCGAAAAACCTTCTTCGAGGCCAGGACGATGCGAGCCTGTCCCAATATGTTAGTTTAATAGCA